TTTCTGGCGTGTCAGACTGAGATAATGGCACCTCCCTCATGCCTGACAGAAGTGAAAGTACTGTATGACCTCAGGTACAGATAATCAGAGCAAGTACTCTGCCCTTGCTCACCATTCTAACTCTTAAAAACTAAGCTTCAGGCTCGTAATTGTGTAAGTTGCTGTCCTCTTAGTAGGAAGATTTGACTCAATTATCACTCTTGTTTTTAAAAGGAAAAGGTAATGAGTTTTAGCAGAAAATATTTCAAGTCTTAAAATTTTCTAAATCTTAAAAACTGCTGGCCTCACTCATCCTTTTTTATTCACACCTTATTTTCCAAAGAATGAGAGATAATATTGTATTAGCTGCTCATCTGTATGAACAGTTTTCTTTAGGTGCCTAAGAGTTTTAAGAGACTAATATTACATACAAGGTTTTAAACTATTAAAAAAAGATTTACTTGTTGGATTTTTTTTTTTTTTTTTTTGGTTTTTCTCCGGTACCAGGAACCGAACTCACGACCTTGCGCTTACCAGGCAGGCGCTTTTGCCGCTGAGCTAAATTCCCAGCCCCCTTGTTGGATTTTTTTTAGCACAATTTAAAAAAATACTTTTCTTTTTTTATAATGAACTCAGTGTCTAGTGCATGTGAGACAAGTGCTTCACCACTGAGCTACACTCCAGGCCCTAAAAATATATTTAAATACTTAAGTTTGCATAAAACAGCATGGGCATTGTTTTCTTTCTTGATTCCTTTCTCCTTCTTTTCCATCCTATCAACCAACACTGATGATTTGAAGCTCTGATATGTGCTAGGTACTCTTCCAGCTACTGAGGACACTGCCATGACCAAAGCTGCATTTCCTGTGTAAGGGGGTTTACATTCTGGTGGTGGTGGTGCAGGCTGGGGGTGGAAGAAGTTAGACAGTCTAGATAACACACATAGAGCGTGCTACAAAGTGACAACAGCAATGGTGAAAAAGCACACTTATGATGAAACATTCTGGAAAAATTATTGAATTACAAAAAAGAAATCCTGTTTTCATTTCAATGAGTTCAAAATAGTAATGTGTATTTTCCTTGATTCTGAGAATTTAAAAAAATATATACTACAAACTAACAAACTGACAGATATTATTATCTGCAAAATACAAAAATAACAGACAAAAGGCTTAGAAATAATTTTGGAAATAATCATGACACATAGCTAATTAAAGTGGCAGATTTCTTATAGGAGCTATTTTGAATCTTTGTGTTGACTATTCAGGCCTTTTACTTTTTGAATAAATTTATTTTTTTCTGAAACTTGAATTATTCCTTCTAGTAGAACATCTTTTTACTAAGTATGAACATGTATAATCAGAAAGAACATGTTCCTAACTAGGAAAATTTCCCTTTAGATATATTCTGCCAAAATATTATCTACTTAGTCTGTTATACTGTTTATAATCCTCAACTCTGCAGATGGTAGCGTTCCTTAATATTGCCTGTCTATAATTTTCAGAAGCGCTATAGTACACTTCGGGGACTTCACTTGCTATAAAAATGGAGGATGCTTTATAAACAACTTACTTTGGAGTTCTCCCAAAGGAAGTTATTAAAGTAATAATGCTTTCAGAAGTAACAGACTACTCTGAATGTGAAATATTACTGAGACTCTCTCCTAAAAGTATTATATTTCATCTCAATAACTTAGTTGACTACAAAAGCCACACAGACCTTGTGACTTCATTTAATCTTTTTTTTTTCCATGAAGACCCTATCTTCAAGTACAATGACATTGGGAATTTTGGACTTCAGCAGAGGAATCTGAAGGTATATAGAAACATTTAGTCTGCAATGCACAAGTTTTAAATATTTCTGACAACTATTTTTTCTTTCTCATTTTCTTAGCTCTAAGACAACCATTATATATATATATATCAGACAGCTATGTACCACAGGTACTGAGATTCTGATCATTCTTGAAGTTTGCTTTATTTTGGTTTTTTTTGGTACTGGGAATCAAACTCTGGACTTTGCGCTTGCTAGGCGGGCGCTTGTGCCACTGAGCTATATCCCCAGCCCAGTTTGCTTTATTTTGAATAATGTTTAGAGTTATGCCTTCAAATTCATTGTTTTTTTTTCTTATACTTAAATCTGCATTTAGGGATAATAATTTCAGATATTATATTTCTCCAATAGCATCGTAATATATGAAATAGTGATAAATTGAGGAAATGACTTGCTAGATCTGCATGCTAAAATCAAATAGCATTTAAGCGAAAGTATAAAAGACCAAAACAAACAGGAAGACATAACATTCTGTGTATCCAAAGATTTAGTATTATTAAGTTGTGATCTCATTAAAAATTTATCCTGACTTGGGGCTGGGCATTTAGCTCAGTGGCACAGTGCCCGCCTGGCAAGTGCAAGGTCATGAGTTCAATTCCTGGTACAGGAAAAAAACCAAAAAAAAAAAAAAAAATTATCCTGACTCAATGCAATTCTAATCAAAATCTTCAGAGCAAATTTTTGTACGAATGACAAAGTGAATCTGAAATAAACATGGAACTATGAAGACTTAGAACAAAATTATTTTAATAAAAAGAAAATAGGAAGACTTACACTATTGTGAACAAAACCCTGTAATATGGATGTAGACATAGACAAGATTTTCAACAAAAATGCCAAGAAATTGAGAGGCAGAGAATATTCTTTAAGAGTCACACTCAAAGGAATAAATGTGAGAAACTTATACCATATATACATACTGACTCGAAGTGAACTTTCTAAAACATCAAGAATAAAATACATATAAGTATTTCTCACTTTGGGTTAGGCCAAGTTTTTTTAGGTTAAGAAAAAGAATGTAGTATAAAACAAAAATGTTAAGTAAAACACTATTAAGAAAATGAACAAATCACATAGTAGGGGAAACTATTTGCAAAACATACATATGAGAAAAGACTGAACATAGAATGTGCAAAGACCCCTTACAACTCAATAGTGGGAAGATAAGAATAATAATGTTAAAAAGGAAGACAATAATTTAGACAAACACACAAAAAGCTATGCAGATGGCAAATGTGATCAACACCTGCTATCGTCTGAATGTTTGTCTCTCAAAATTAATACGCTAAATTCTAATCACCAGATTGATGGGTATTAAGAGTGGTTTCACTGGGGGGGGTGCCAAACAGGTCAACTAGCACCCTTCCAAAAGAGGCTCAGAAAGCTCCCTTTCCCTTCATCACATGCTTCTCCACCACGGAGGACACAGTGACAACACATCAGCTATGAACAAAGAAAGCGGCCCATGCCAAATACCAAATCTGTTGGCACCTTGCTCTTGGCATCCCCAGCCTACAGAACAGTGAGAAACACATTTCTGTTGCTTAGAGGCTACCCAGTCTATGACATTTTGTTACAGCAGCTTAACTGGCCTAAGAAAGCATCATTAGTCCTCAGAGCTAAGTTAAACCACTATGCAAAATTAAAATGACTGATAAATCATGGACAAGAATGTAGAACAAATGGAACTATCATACATTGCTGATAGTTAAACACACATTTACCAAATGGTTAGGAAATCTTTATGTCCTTACATAAGATAATGAAGATATGCCTACAAAAGACTTTTATTAAATAATCATGTGGATTTATTGATAACAAGCCAAAGCTAACAACCAAGTTCTTCCCCAATTGGGGAATGAGTAAACAAATTGTAGCAAATATCCACACAATGGAATACTACTCAACAATAAAAAGGAAATGTACTGATATATGGAATAGCATGCATAAATTTTAAAGTAAGTATGATTCTGCATGATTCCAATTTTAAGAAAATCTAATAGAAGCTAAATTACAATACTAAAAAGCAGATCAAAAGTTTTGTGCCAGGAGTCAACCCACCAGGATCAAAAGTAGTGGATTAACTGCAAAAGGAAGGAAGGAAAATTTTAGGGATGATGAAAAGCTCTGTATCTTAATTGTGATAATGATTATGTAAATGTGAACATTTCTCATAGAATTTTATCCTTAAAATTGGTGAATTTTATGCCATGACAAATTATAGTTCAGTAAAGCTAACCAAAACCAAGGAGATACACAGTATTTTCTCCCCAAAATTAAGTGAGTGTTAGGTACAGATAAGCCAATCTTAAATAAACCCTCTGGCCACCCACAGATACAGACATCCTTTGTGGGTAGGGCCTTGCTACAAAGTTCACTAGAAATAGGAGCAAAGAGTCAGGTGGAGCAGTCTATTCAAGCCTGGCTTTCCAGTGACTACATAAAGTTTTACATACAATAGTAAATACTTTTAGTAAATATTTGTGAATAAGAATTTAAGTACACACAAATTCCTAAGCTCTTTTTTTTTCCCCCCAGTACTGGGAATCGAACTCACGACCTTGTGCTTGCCAGGCAGGCGCTGTGCCGCTCAGCTAAATCCCCAGCCCCCTAAAGCTTTTTAAAAGGTTAGGTACATTCAATGTTCTAGCATGCAGTCACAAATACAGTTGGCTGCTCTGCATACTTTACTAGAATTTCAATCTACCCTGTGCCATTATTTCAAGGCATAAACAAATTAAGAAAGTTTGTGGACTTTTAATTTACAATGTATACTTATTAACTCATGCTTATTCATTAAGCATTCATTATTAACAATAAGAAAAACCCAGTGAAATCTCTGAATTTTAAATCATGCAGTTAGGAATTAAAATACTTCTAGAGCATGAATTAAGTTCTTCAAGATCAACTGTTTTACACCCTCTATAGAGGAAAAATTAACAGTCCTTCTAATGTTTGAATTATGGAGAATTAACTTAACTATACCAGAGAACTTTATTCTAAATACTAATTATAAAGCTGATTCTATGGCGAAGAAGTTTTACAAGAAACATCTAGAAGACATAACAATAGGCAGTTTTAAAATAACAATTTGATGTTTTATGAACCAATAAAGCAAAACTTTTCTTGAAATCGAATTTTAAAGTCACTGAAAAATTTGAAGTGAATTTGCAAAACAGTAAACTTACAATTTGTTGCTGTATGAAATTGAGAAGAAAGTGCCTGAGTAACTGAATTCCAAAATGTGTATAAAATGTCAGGCTGCCCATCCTGTGAAACAACAAAAAAAGTATTCATTTAAGAATGCATAACAAACAAGATGAAACTTTAACAGTTTAATTAAATGAAAATATTTTGACATGTAACACTGAGATTATTCAATAAATAAGTGAAAATATATATATGATTTAAATTATGCCCCTTGTTCAAGCGATCACTCATTAACATGCTCTGCTGTCTACTTGCTGTAGGATCTTAGACAGCTGCTTAACCATTCTGTGCCCTCCTCCCATCTGTAAAATGGGGATGGCAACAATTCCCACACTTGCTGTAAGGATCAAAGAAGTTGATAAAACTCTTGAGTAGTGCCTGATTACTATCCTTATTATTATCATTACAGAAGGCCATTGTATGGTCATGACAAAGCAATGCACAAAATGTGCCTATATCAAGCAGTTGATAGGGCATAAATCACCATTACAAAAGAGAATGGTTGAAAACTAGATACAATAAAAAAACAAAAATGATATTATTACAGGAGACTTTCATTCAACTATACTGTGATTTAGAAAGAAATCACTAAAAAGAAAAAGTAAATACTAATATAAGGATCATTTATTTTGGGGGCTGGGGATTTAGCTCAATGGCACAGCGCCTGCCTTGCAAGCGCAAGATCATGAGTTCGATTCCCGGTACCAGAAACAAAACAAAAAAGTATCATTTATTCTAAAAAGTACTTTAATATTGTTAAAATGAACTAACATTGTCAGAAATTTTAATAAATATTTTTAGGCACTTCTACATGCTTGGCATTTAGATCAAACTGCTAATATTATAATATTTTTGAAGTATAAAAAGGAGAACTTCATGGAATGATTCAAAGAAACAGCAGAGTGAAAAGACAACCCACAGAGTGGGAAAACATTTTAGCTAACTGTCCCTCAGACAAAGGACTTATGTCTAGAACATATAAAGAACTGAAAAAACTCAGACCCCGCTCCAAATTCAAAGACCTAATCCAAAAATGGGCATCTGAGCGGAATACACACTTCTCAAATGAAGAAACACAAACAGCAAATAAATACATGAAAAAATGCTTAATATCATTAGTCATTCAAGAGATGCAAATTAAAACAACACCAAGATTTCCTTTCACCCCAGTAAGAATGGCTACCATCAAGAAATCAATCAACAATAAATGCTGGAGGGGCTGTCTTCTCCACTGTTGGTGGCAATGTAGACTGGTGCAAACACTTAGGAAATCAATCTGGAGATTCCTCAAAAAATTAGGATAGAGGTCCCATTTAACCCAGTCATTCCCCTTCTGGGTATTTTCCCAGAAGAATTAAAAACAATCATACCACAGTGATATACGTACACCGACGTTTACAGCAGCACAATTTATCATAGCAAAATATCAGCAACAACCCAAATGCCCATCAACTGAGAAGTAGATAAGAAAAATCTGGTATTTTTATACAATGGAGTATTACTCAGCTATAAAGAAAGATAAACTGGAGGCTTTACAGGTAAATAGATGCAACTAGAGACCATACTCCTAAGTGAAATAAATCGGACCTGCATGTGTAAACACTGTATTGTCTCCCTTGGGTAAGAACCTGAAAGAGTAGCTTGGGTGACTCAGCAAGACTGTCTCAAAATAAAAATAAAAAAAAGGACTGGGCATGTATTTTATCTCTGAGTTAAATCCTCAGTACCACAAAAAGTAGGAGGGGGCAAGATTTCAAAAAGATGTTTGTACACCCATGTTCAGCATCATTCACAAAAGCCAAGAGGTGGAAGCTTTGCGCAGTGGCAATATCTTAGCCAATGATGTTTATCTGAGGCGCAATTATTGCTAACTGAAAGCCAAAAGGTGGAAGCAACTTGAACATCTATTAGTGGATAAAGAAAAGGGGGTGTATATACACAATGAAATATTATTCAACCTAAAAAACAAATCCAGTCATGTGCTAAAATATGGATGAATCCAGTTACCAAAAGAGGTGAACACCCCAAGACTAATACATGGATACTTAAAGTAGTCAAGCTCCTAGATGCAGAGAGTACACTGATGGATGTCAGGAGCTTGGGAAGTGATAAAAATGTAGTTCAACATGTACAGTGATTTTAGAGGATGAAAAGTTCTAGAGATTTATTGTACAAAATACATATATTTAACACTATTGTGCTTCATAATTACAAATGGTTAGGATGGTGAGTGTATTTTTTTGCTATAGAAATATATTTTAAAACTAATATTTATGGATTTTTGAAAATATAAAGACTGGACATTAAATTTATTTTATTTCCTTTTATGTTGTGAAATAAAGGCAGACTTATGTAGAGTTCCTTACTGGAGATCTGAAGGGATTTAACTGAACAGATTTCCTAATATTAAATTATCTTTATAATGCTGATATGAAGCTACATGACACAGATAATTATTTTAACACACTATCGAAATCAATTTGCTTTCATTTCTGAAAATTTTGTATTTATATTCTTCAGCAAGACTGGCCCTGTTTTCTCTTTTGAGTATATGTATGTGTGTGTACAAAAATATCTAGGTTTGTTTTGGAAGTATTATTATACATGCTTCATAAAGTATTTAGCAAAAGTTATCTTCATATGTATTTTAGGGCAATATCACAGGCTGAGATATTTTCTCTTCACAGAAATCTGAAGGAATTTCACTAGTCTAAGCAACAACAAAAATATTTTAAGGTAAGCTGTGGTAACTAAAAAAAAAACTAAAAATGATTTATTTAGGTATTCCATTTCTTAATTATATTTTCCCTGACAATTACCCAAGTCACTTCAAATCTCACATTTACAAAGAGAAAAGGTGTAAGATTCTATTTCACATACGACTGTCTTATCGGATTGTTATGGTTTATGTCTGCATGTCCCCCCAATCCTCATGCAGTCATGGGGTGGGCTTCTAGAGTTTTTAACTGATTCATGGTCCAATGCTGGGATTATGGGTGTGAGTGTTAGTTACACCCACCCTGGGACGGGTAGTTTGCGTACAAAATAAGGGAGGGGAAAAGGCTCACCACTCCTGCCTTTTTGCTCTTGCTGCTCTTGCTGTTTTCTGCCCCATGAACTCTTGCTCTCTGCCATGTGCCACCCTGCCTTGGAGCCAGCCAAGTATGGATTGAAACCTCCACAAACTGTAAGCTAAATAAGACTTTCCTTCCTTAATTCTGGGTGTCAGGCATTTTGCCTCAGCAACAAGAGAAAAGTAAGACACTGACAATACTCTCTCTTTTGCTTTCACTTGTGTTCTTCCTATATTGTTTGCTTTTTGATGTGACTTTTAAAAGTAAAAGAGGAATAATTTAAGTCTATTTTTGAATATAATTTTGTCATTTGATAAGAAACTATAACCCAAATATATTTAAGTAATAGGATGTTCTTGCTTTCATCATCTCATTTTATGCTTTTTTTGTTCCCCTTGTTTTGTGTTTGTTCTGTGGAATTTTTTTTGTTTGCTTTTATCTTTCTTCATGGCTTGAATACGACAGATTCTGATTTTAAATCTATCAAATCTAACTTGGTTTCATTCCAAAGACAGTTTAAATCTCATATGAACTTATATTTTTCACTTTTCAAAGGCAAAAATGAAGATACATCTTCTGAGGCTATTGTTAAAAGAAATTTATTTTGAATTTTAAGTTTCAGAAATTTACAAATTAAATAGAAATCAGTATGAAAATCTGAACATGCTGTAGCATAAGGACTACTATTATGTTGGGTAAACCTTTAGGTTAAACTCAAGCAACCACTAATTACCAGTGTTCGTGTATTAATACAACAGAATGATGAAATGGGCCAGCAGTGGTGAAGGCAAGGGAATCATCACACAGGCACAGGTTATTAAGAGAGTGATGACTCATAGCACGGGTCATGCTTAGACTACAGTGATTCCCGGCATATGTATGCGTTAGGATTCTGATATCATTACAAATGCCACCTTTTAAAGATTCATTTCTTCTTACAAATGCTCATTTCTGAGGATAAACAAATCTATATTAAATATACTCTACTCTCCTAAGTGTAATGGACTACGCAAAGCTTTGCACATCATTAAACTCTGCACAGAGGACTGGTATCACTGTTTTTGTAACATTTTCTCATATTTCTTTTGGATGTGTTAGCTCTATTCTTACATTTAACCATAAATTTCTTTGAGGCATATCATCTTTGTAACCCTACAAAATTACTGAAATAGATTTTTTAAAATAACACGAATTCTTCAATTTTTGAGAATGCCAAAGAAAAAATTCTAAATTTCTAACTCATCCTGCTATGGTGTAAATGTGTCCTCTAAAGTTCATGCGTTAGAAATGCAATCTCCACTGCAGAAGCTGAGAGTGAGCCCTGGAAGCGGTGATTAGATCACGAGGGCTCTGCCTTCATGAATACATCGATGTGTTATCACGGGAAGGGGTCAGCTATCTTCATAATTAGATCCCTGAGCAGAGGAGAAGTCTGCGCCTGTCTCCCCCACTCAACTCCCTTCCAAAAGAGGCCCTCACCAGATGTGTGCTCCGTCAATCTTGGACCTTCCAGGCTCCACTATGAGAAGCAATAAATCTCTGTTCTTTATCAATCACCTCATCTTTTGTATTCTATTATAGCAACACAAAAGAGACTAGGATACACTTTTTTAAAAAACAGTGCTGGAAACTGAACCTAAGGCCTCATACATGCTAGGCAAGAACTCTTGCACTCTTTTGAGAGAAAACTTTGGGTTCTGATAATCTCATTATTTCTTCCTTCTTAGTGATGTCACTTCAAAGTGCAAAGCCTTAAGTACTTTTAACGGGAGAAGAACCCAGACGAAGTGTCCATACTCTAGTAAATAGAATTACATGAACGTTGCCTCAGAAATTAATTTCTGAATATGCATTACTGTAACATGCATGACTATAGCATGTAACCACATTTAACTTTTAAAACAACCACAGAAACCTTCACAGCAGACAGCTCATTTTGTCCTTTTTAACTATTGTAATTTTAGCATCTAGACTGTGACAGGACAT